AAATACACAAAGGCTGTAATTATTCATGACTATAATTTGACATATCCCTTTTTTCAAGTGGTGCCACCTGCTTTATGCGGTAGGCATTAGCCCGTCTCAATACACAGACCTAATATACTAGCGTGATTTTATGAAAATCCGAAGATATACGTTTATCTTTTGAACATGCTGCCTTCTTCAAACCACTACTTGCTGCAGATATCAGTATCAAGTGACACTGTCTGATAAAAGTGCAACAAATGTAACGCAGTCCAAGTACATTATGCCACCCATATCACGTTGTATTGTGAATGACCAATCTGTTGTTTTGATTTGACTTACCAACAGTTGTTTAGTTTAATTGGAACACGCACATTGGGAGTTGGAAGATGTACACTAGAATCGGCTTACAAAGTACCTTGCGTATCTATCGACATCCTTCAACTTCTAAATCTTTAAATGCAGAACCTCACATCAACTGTGTGATGAGTCACAACAGTGAATATGACATGTGATTCAGGTAACATAAATCATTTCGGATAGATAATAAGAACCAAAACATATCAATATGAAAATAAAATAAACAAGTTTTATACTTGGTATTATCATTCATCGATCTAAAATATTTTAATTTTGGTAAATTTAAATGGCTATGAAATCCCTAAAGTACACAAATTCGAGTTCACTGATGTCCCGGTGACAAATATGCTTGAATAGAAGATCATTTGAAGGTGTGTATAGTAACCATTCAAGCTTTGTGTTTCAATGTGTGCATGATGACAGTGTACGTTACAAACTGACCACCATATCGCTGTTCGGAAAGACAAAATGAAATATGATTATGACATACTTTGTAAATCTCTTAGATTCCAGGTAATTCATGATAGGCGATTGTGTATAATATGCAGTTCACTTTAATTTAGACTCTTCTTACTTTCATCATGCTTATATGCCCTCAGTAGCCTTCCATCTTATGTAATTTCCATCATTTTGAAATTGCTGCAAAGATAGTGACTAACATCACATGTTTCCACAGTAAAACAATATTCTGAGTTGTAGCAAGTATCATCTGTTAAGGAGTTTTGAACTGCTGAAATTGTCATCCCACTGATTGGTCTGTCAGCGCGTTGCGGGATACGTGTGAGAGATTACCTTTGTATACAAGTAATACATGCCAACAGAAGTAGTCGAACTGATGCAGTAGTTGAGTGGAATAATAAAGCCACATAACCCTGAGTAATGAAATCATTTAACCAACAGTTCTGGAAAAGGAAGTGGTGTTTTCATAACAGTGTAATCTGTTGAAAAAATCCGAATGATGAGAATAGCTGCCATTAAAAAATAGCAATTTTTGGTATAGGCACGCATTCATCCGTCAGTATCTGCATTTATTTACTTGCCCTTGTAATTCTGTGATAAGGCAAATGATACTGAGTGTGAGATTTAACATTTATGATGTATAAATTCCTATAAAAAGAAAGTGAATCTACACTAGTATCTGCAATGCTATTCAGCAATAGGAAGAAATAGTATTATTCAGACTGCCTAAATTAGTCTTGGATATGAACGCTGACACTGATAAAACAAGTATGGATGATATTTGACATAAACGCCCTAGTAACCATAGAATGCAACTTGGCATCACCACGGTTTGTGTGAATTTACTTATTTCTTCACATCCATTGTCTTCAATCCCAACTACAACGACTATACTAATTCAGATTTCAAGATTTTCCTTGTCCTGTGTACATCAATTTGCATGAAGCTGATGAAGTAGATAGATTGGAAGAAGAGAACGAATAGTGTGTCTCAGATTCTCTGAACGCATACTGAAATTTTCGCGATTAAGAGAAGGTAAATGTGTTGAGCGGTTGTGTTACAAGACGTCTTAGTGACACAGGACATCAGGTGCACATTGTGAATTGCATCAAAACAATGAACAAAGAAGCAGGCTAAGGCTCTTGAATTTCACAGAGGCCATCGTCATCACGAGACGGTTAAAGCCTAACTTGTGTATTGCGAAAGAAGATGTGGTTAGTCTTGTCATACCTCAGTAACTTGACTTCTAGCCTGAATTGACTATGTCATCTCCACTCCTACTCCGTCACATCATCATTTACTAGAGCTCAGGCTTCACATATCTGATCGGTAACTGAATGAACTTAACTCATAACAAATTGTTTTTTTATTTCACTTCGTTACTAGCGATTCTTCCAATGACTTGCGTTCTCTTATAATTCATGTGCCGCAATGTCTTGTCGCTATCCTTGCTTACCACCTTTTGTTCCTTAAGAGATAACTCGACCGCATTACACGTCCAATCACGCCAAAATTTTCATATTTTATTAACGTATCATTCTGATTCACCCATACAGCATGACCACCAGTAATTATTGTCAGACACGTATTTCTCTAATGAACCACACTACACTACATTATATATGGGAATTACAGTCACTGCGGAAGGAACTAATTAGAAGAGTATTACTGACTCTAAGCCTTGTCTGGACCGACGAACCTCCCTCCCAAATCCAGTTCTGGTTGTTGAGTGTGATGATTGTTTCGTCATCTGTTCTGCTCTGTCTAGTTATTTGTCATCCTCAGATGTAAGAGAGTCTGGAGTGTCTGTCACCGGATGTGGCTCGTTATACTCCAACAATGTTGAGTTAATGCTACGGATAACTATGAGATGTTGTTTCGTCAATCATGCCCAACATGTCATTTCTGTCAAGCGGCTGTTGTGGGATGATTAATGTGGTTTACGGACACTGTCATATATTACATATATGTATGAACACTCGGAAGGCCAATCGTGTATAAAGAGATATGCACGTTTGTTTCTGGGAGTTATACATTCTTGTCCTCTCATTCGCCATTTGACCTGCTGACCACAGTAAGTTCCGTCCATCGGAACGTCATCTGTTTGGTCAACAAATCCACATTCACTCAAGTGTGATATAAACTTCCTCAGGTGCGCAGCGATCTATGTGCTGTTTGTCGGTGGCACTAATGACCAGTAAAAGGAATGGTTAGCTCGAGAACAAATCAAACAACGAACATACTAACTTACTAACTGAGTAACTGACTAACTAACCAACTAACTAACTGAATGACTGACTAACTAACCATTTCCCAATAACTTCATTTCGAACAGATTTTCGGACGAGAAGGACACATAGTATCAGTCAGTTCCTCCCACGCGACCTGTAAATCAGACATTTGATTCGAGAGTAAATTCAGTGTTATGCGTGATTGGAATTCTGTTGGTGATTGCTATACGGGTGAAGAATGAATGGTCTTTATATTTGAAACTGGTGATTAATTGCAAATACAAAATAGCCACATGATTATTTGAATTCTCTGTCCTTATCACTTTGCATGGATTTATAAGCACTCGTTTTCTCACTCAGTTGTCGTCTTTTTCTCCGTAATGGGAAAAGAATTCAAACATTCCGTCAAACATTTTAGTGCGCTGAATCAATAGTAGGGACAAAGTCTAATTCAGTATTATCATACTCACATCCAACGCATGTTCAAATCCGAAGTGAAAACTGGCTGTTCAGACGCATTCCGTTCTCAGAATCTTTCCGTGTGACATACAACCAGAGTTCAAGTGATCCGACATTGTTTCACTGAACCAATGAGGTCAGATATCTCTGTGATGATGCCATCATCACGAATACAGAATTTCCGCTTATCGTGAGGATTATGATAATGATAGTGATTCTAATCGTAGCAATAATGTGAAATGGTTAATATCTCTACTCAAAGCATACTCTTCTTGTGCGCAATTCATATCTCCTCATGTGGTGTACCACAGATAAAGCTTGCATGAATTGGGGATTAGAGAACATACTTCAAAATTTCGTGTTTGTGTACGGCGGCTAAATATGTCTTTTCCCAGATATCTCACAACTCACTTGCACCTTGAGCAGTGGGTTGTTATTTCGAAACACACTGACCTCAGGAATTCGTGATCAGCGAGTAGGACCGTCGGTTTCCTCTAATCACAATGACCAGCAGCAGACACCAATACATTCTGAACCGAGTGAGTTTTCGTATGGTCACTTACTCAAGCTCGCATACGTTTCGGATCATGCATATCTGCTAAATAGTTATTTCGAAAAGTGAACGCTTTGTCAGACTGAGTCAGTGCCTAACGTTCCCTGAATAAATTTTGTGACACTAGCGACAGTCATCAACGAGGCGTGTACAGATTTTTCGAGGGATTTCGGTGTCCGGGCTGTCCCAGTAACTGTCACATATTTCCAACACATCGAGTGGTATTCATTCAGAGTATATCGTCTAGTAGACATAGATAGGCTGGGCAGATACCGCATGCATTGTAGTCTTACAGCAGATGTTCTTCTTCGCCTTTGGTCTCTTCAGTGTCGTGGTGAGCCTGCTCACTCTGCATCGAAATCTCCTCGATTCACAGATGTCAGATTTACACAGCCATTCAAATGTCTAATTCCAGAAGCACATCACACAAAGTTTGCTTCAGAAGGGCGGAAGAGTGTAGAAATACATTCGAGTATTCATCACTGCCAACTCAAGCAGAATATTGGCCAGGAGAATTTCTGCATTTCAAAGCCCAATGTCAATAAAATGAACGAAAGGCTGACGACCGAATCCATATGCCTACACACCGTCCTCAACACATGCAACAGAAGTTGACTCAACACATGTCTCTTTCATATTATTGCTACCTTCAACATTTTTCAAAATGTATCCGTGTGATTTCCCTCACACACACACACACACACTGTCTCTTTCTCTATCTCACTAGGTTATTTGTGCTCATTCTAACTTGACTTCATACCGTCGCTGCACTCCACAACTTCGTCAGTCGCCATAACGACGTGGAATTTCTCAGTGACCCTCAACATCACCACCGTCATCATCATCATCACTCACACCGATTTACTCATGGAAGACTAAATCACAGTCCTCAGCTGACACCAAGATCGCACACTTAGTGGATCGACGTGTGAAATTGGAGGGAGTGAAGCGAGAAGAAGTTTGTAGCACCAACGTTTATTAAGAGAAAAGAAAGAAAAGCCTCCTGACCACCAATGACAATCGTGCACCTTCCGACATCATTACCTGTCATTCATCTGTCATGAATGCGTCTTCATTCATTCCCTTCTTCAGAGGTTACCACGGTTGCTGAAAATAAGAGGCGTTTGACATGTGTGTAGTAGTTTTCACGAGATCATTTGATTTGCACATTATTTCGAAGTGATAAAATGCTCGGACTACAAACTATACTTTCGGGCCACTAACTGGTGTTTATTTGTTTCACCGATGAACTGAAAAGCACATTTCAGTCTCAAGAATTACTGAGAAGTTAGAATATCATCCAGTCTACCAGCTGACTTCATTCTACCCTATCTTACAGTATCTTTCAACATATGTCCAAATCCGAATGCAATCCACGAGAAAATACGAAAGCGAAAGTAGATCCACTCTGCTACAGATGGATAGACTTCTGTCTTCCACCAACTTCGCGAAACGAATCCACACTGAATCTGATCCAGTCGTGCAGAAACGCTGAGTTAGCGCGACACCACCCTTACAAGACACATGATAATCATCCATTAAGGAAACATACCGTATCCATGCTTGCTCTCCTCGTCCATTTCTTTGACCAATGCAAATACTCTCCAATAAGGATGGGCATCTAGAAAGCACATCACTCATATTACACGTCAACATACATTTCATGAATTCCATTCTCCAGTTTTCCATGGTCTTCACAGCTCCTCCCAGAAGTTCTATCAAATAATCAAGTTACATTGCAATCAGTATAAAAATCAAACGATTGTTCACACTGGAATAGAAACACACATTTCACTGCAACGCATGTATGAATTCTGCTTCACTACAGCTGAGAGTGCGGCGACATGTTCTTCGACAGTATAGCTGAATTTCATGTCCATGTTCATGTTCATGTCACTTGACCACCATTCCCAATGACTATCAGTCCTACAGTGGGGTGTTGTCTCTGACATATCGACTCATTTTGAGCTGGATGTCGAGAATTGGAAGCACATATTTATGTGTCATCATCATCATCATCAATCGTGGGTGGGATGGGCTGGGCTTACACTCTGTTGTGAGTGGACAGCGAAGGAAATGGTTCACCGTGGAGTGTTACAAGACAGTGATGACAGTCTTGTGTATGAGCACAGACAACCGGTCTCATAGTTAAAGTGTCAGTCAGAAACATTCAATTCACCTGGGAATCTTCGAGGACTAGTGAATTGTCAACTTGAACAAAGGCACTCACAAACAATGAAGTCTCTTGTGCTTCACCGCATAATGTTTGAGCAATATTGCGAGAAGTCATTTTGTATATGTGCACTCAACTATCAACACTCGATTACAGATTGTTTCAGCACGTCTAGTTAAGCAACGGAACTGAGGAGGCATGCAATGTTCCCTGTACGTGTCGAAATATGGAAATCTGATTTACAATCGGAATGGCCTATAATCACATGAACATTCAATATTTCACAAAGAGGAATCCTCAAGTTCGAAGATGTTGCTCCATAACAACGCCGTATCAAGTCTCGTGGGGCATAACAAAACTCCAAACTTCCCGAGGGAAATGCTTTTTGATGAAAAAGACACTCATGACATAGATGACGAGGTTGACTTGCTGGTGCTGCTGAGGAATCTTGTAACACTATCCATGCGTGAAGTAGAGGAGCTAAGCGAAATGTGAGACAAGTCACTTTTGAGTAAGGTAGCAGCAAATCAAAAGAATGGCTGAAGAGCGTGAAGACGACATGATCACTGAACCACAGTAAACCGTGGAATTTATTAATCTGATGCACGAAGCAGATGGATTTCTCACTCTCCCTAGTGACACTGATAGACGATTTAATCAACTCACCAGCAGATTTGTTGAAATTTCCCACCGTTTTATTAAGCACCTTCAGTTGTTTGTCTGAGTCCGATAAAACTGTAAGTGGATATGACAGCGAAACGAGCACGATCAGCAGAGTGAAGAGACTATTTGCGATTTACATCACTGTCTATCAAGTCAAATGAAATAAATTCAAATTGTGTCGACAATTTCAAAGAAGAGTTTAGCTTTGAAATCAGTTCTCGCTCAAATGCAATATTTACTCCAATGTGTGACTGTGTTCTCCTACTGAAAATGTTGAGTTCTCTTTTCAAAAGTGTAATACACGGAATATTCAACTCACATTTTACACCCTGATACTTGATGAATTCGCTCAATGCTGACAGAGAATATTTTTCAGTGAAACCTGAAAAACATGTGAACCAGAAATCCAATTTCATGCAGTCAATAATAGGAATGGTGGGAACAAGACTTGTGAGCATAAATTAGCGAATGACAAGGGAAGCACACAGAAGACCCGTCTGCAGACCGCGACTGTTGTCGCTTGAATCAGTTCAGAGTGGTATGCAGATGTGGTAGAGTGTGCTGAAATCAATCATTGAATGCAAACAATCATTTTGAATGACTGTTTGGAATCCACGACCACAATGAGTAGAACTTCGAGTCCATGGCGATGAAGGAGGAGAAGAAGACAAAATATCACTCACCTCGGTAGATCCGCATTATTGTTTTGGCACTTCTGAATCTCTCTTTACTCAAGAAATAATTTATACCTATTCAAGTGATAACAAAATGAAATGGCGTGCTAGTAATACACGAGAGAATGTTAAGCGATCATACTGCGTGAAACCTCAAACGTCTTCTCATCTTCTAATTCGTCCCTCAGTCGGATATCATGGTAGACGTCTTGATGAGAAATCAAGTCTTCGTGATTCAAGCCGAAATTTGAAATATGCACTAGTGTGATACCTGAGAGTGTTTCAAGTTTGGTCATTTTCACTATCAGTAAGCGCATTGGAAGAAACTAGCAGAAATGCGATTTCAATAGGGAGAAAATCTCCACTTATACATTTAAAAGACAAGAGAATTGAGAGAAGAAATCTCCTCTTCTCAATCAGACCCTCAGCTACTGGCTATATTCTAATGTACACAGAAACTTTTCATTCAACAAAAAATGAGATTATCCTGAATGGTTTTGTGAATATCTGCATGGAGGGGAGTGAATTCTCAAAACTGTCCTTCATGTACTGCAAATGTGCTTCGAATGACCTCATCTCAAATCATTTAAAGTCTAGTTCCGATGACAGTCACTGTATAAATATCAAAAGCAATGTTAGTCTCATCTTCACTTCGAGTTCTTGCAGACTGACTTCCTCTGAACTCCGTCTCACTGCAAATTCTCGGTGACATACAAACAACATGAACTGAAATGCAATCAGATGAAATACACTCGCGGACATCAGCGAAACACTGATTTCAACTCACTTCTGACTTTCTGAAGTTTGAAGGAGTTTCCTCTATCCGATTCTCGCAGATATTCAGCTTTTGTGAAAAGCACAGACAAGAGAGACATGAAAACACCTTCTTAACTATAAAATGTGGCTATTTGAAACAAAATCAGTGGAACTCGACGATGAGCACACATATCTGATAGAGGAGAAGAGCAGTGGCGAATTGCTTGTGAATGTTTGATCAACGGTGAGATTGAAATCAAGACTTGCAAAACATATTCACACTACTTCTTGACATTTTGACATGATGAAAAATGTGATTCCGAATTGGACAAGATATATCCTGATAAATGCTGACGTTGTATTTCTAAGCCACAACACACAGGAATTCTTATCCAAAAGTCAATCGATCACATGAAAGTAGTTGAAGTTGAATCTGCACGTAAAATCATTCTGCTACCATTTCTTAGTCACCACATGATCAAAATTATATCGCATACAATTCATCCAACTTCAACTCACCTGTCAAGTTATCTAGGTGTAATCTGGCCATCCATTTCAACGAAGCATATTTATACATGACATCGCAACCTGTTGTCAATAAACAACACATACGATAGACAGAGGATGATAAGGCGGAAGAGATCAAACTCACATACAAATCACAAATGAGAACGATCACTTTCATAGGTGATCCACATTCGAATTGAATTTGAAGGCATAGCGTTGAGCTAGGAGGGTGAAGTGGAACTGTTTCAATTGTGGTGTATCCGACATATGTGAGGTCTGCAGTTCGGAACTACTCAGTATAGTCACTAATGCTGTCAATTATCCTATGATAGGTGGCACAAATATCGTCAAGTGACTCGAGCAGAAGTAGATCACCACATTGGCGTGCAGTCAGGTTGAGTGTACAGGTCGGCGACAAACTGAGAGCAATGCATTTCGCCTGCCGTTCGAGATGTTGAAGTTGTCGACAATGGTAGAATAGGCTGACTGGGAATGATGCATATTGTAAGTGACTCGAGAGGTGATTTCATTTCTTCATGGCGTCTCGGTGTTTATTCACATCTTAGAACTATCATCATAGTGTTGTGGAGAAGAAACGCATGCTTGAACTCATCTAGAGGTAAGTGATTGGGTTGTTTAGAGAGCAAATACTATTCTTTCGCCATTCTCTTTACATGCAGTCGTCTTTGGATCAAGTGACAAGTGATTTCTGTCTCCATGCCTTCTCGACCACCATCTCGACCACCCTTCCCATTCTCACGTAAATGTGTATCAGTCCACTTGTCACACAGTCGAATAAGATAATGAATCTCGCTCACCGTATCGTATTATTTCTCGAATCGTCTGATTTTCCGTTTCACTTTGCATGTGATAACCTGGAATATGAAGATTCAACATAAATTTATTCCACTAAACATAACCATTAAACATTTTCGAAGTATGACTATTGGTGAACGAATACTCTTTTCGATGAAGGAGATACACTAGTGTTTCGCAGTGGGTGATGTTCCATAATGAGCATATACCGGTAAGCGAATTTCACATCAATCCCGTTGGTGAAGAGATGTGGTCTGCAAAAACATCAAGTGTGTGTGTGTGTGAGTATCGCTCCGTCTGTCATCAAGGCTTCTTGAAGCTTATCAATGAATTGACTAGCTATTAACACGCGATGTTCATGCAAGGAAAACTGACGGTTACACTGCATTCTTACGTGTCAAACTCTGACAAACTCAGACCGCCGTGGACACAAAAGATACTTCAAAGTAACCAGAACTTACATGCGTTCTTAGGAATTTGAGAAAATTCACCTGTAATACAAAAACCGATCACAGACATTTGAGGGAATCCACCAGATACATTGTGGACAGAATGCTAATACAGGCGGAGTACTCGCCCATTGGTTAAATACACGCTCCAGGAGGATGCAATAAACATGCTGTGTTGGATTTAATGTTGGAAAGCTATTCATATGAGTGTGTGATTCGCATGAAAAATTCTCGCTCACACATAAGTGTTGTGCAAATGCATACCTGAATATTGAAGTTCTAGTTTCGCGATGTCTCCATTATTTCTCAGTTCATAAATATCTTTCACAGCTAACAGGTTGAATGGAAACAAAAGTAATAAGCCTCGTCATAAAGATTTTCAGATGGAGTGAAGTTATATACATGCATGTGATTGAGTAGTCCCAATTGTGAACGTCAAACGTTGCACGATGATGTAAATACTCGGACAGCTTAGCAAACAGTGAATCAAGTTTAACTTCTGTGTAGTCGGAGTTTGGATGGTGTGAATATCCCAGATCACTCTCATTATTATTGACTAACTACTCTGACAGCAATACACGCCGTTTGTCATATACACATGCACACTTCTACTCGTTATCAAGATATACATGTAAATTCGTCTGAAATTCACTGGGAACATCCAGAGTTAAGTGAAGAGACGTTGAAAAGAAGAGGGACGTGTGTGTCGGAGATTCCTGTGAATAGCTTCATCCTGAAATGTGTGTCAAAAGGTGAGTTGATGACAAACAATGTGTTTACAATTCCTAGTGAAGTCACACCTCACACAGATGTGAATAATATTGTCGTGAGTAAAGTGAAAGTCCTCCTCGTAGAGAGATGATGAGGTCCATTTCACAATATACGCTGAATCACAATTAGTCTCATTATGTATAGCCAATGTGATGAGAGGAATATGCATAGCATACCTTTAAGATAACCAACTGCCCATTTCAACATGAATTCGCGCTCCACATTCCGACGTTCTGAAATCGAGACGACAGATAACAAGCAAATGCTGGAAGAAGTAAATATATCATGAGCAAGCAGACAAGACATTTTCTTCACAGGATATTTCATTCACAGAGAAAACCAAGGTGAAATGATGTGCATGTGAAACTGACTTCGTCCTTCTAACTGTAAACTGCACGAATCGACAGTGAGTTGAAAGGCCTTTTCGTCTATCGTCGGTGGACTTGTAATTCAGAGACTAATTTCTGCTAGTGAATGGAATCAGTGGTGACAGTGATAGTAAGACTGTTGCTTGACTGTCAGTGACTGGCTTAGTGATTCACTATTGAACTGACAATCCATGTCTGGAGCATGCTCTCTGCACGAGACTTTCGAGCAACAGCTTCAACTTCAATCGATTTATAGTTGATGAGAAAGCAGGAATGAGGATGTAGATGAGTGACTGTGATAATTCAGGTATTTAAACACGGATGTGCCCAATATTTTGACTGTGTGCAACGTTAAGACGAATCTCTGTTGTCCATCGTTAACACGACATGTCGATTATGATTTGAGCTGTTTCATGTATTGTGTCGTGTTACGTCAGAATGGAAGAGTGGAAGGGAAGTTCTCTTGTGAGTGAATCACAGTGAAGCACCTATTTAACGATGAAATCATCACCGTACAAAGGACAAATTTAGATTTCCATTTCACACCACGGAATATATACTGTCGACACATCCGTTCAAATATAGTGTTCGACTGGGATGAAAACAGACATCACACAGCAGTGTGGAGTCCTTAGAGGTTTCCAATTCATTCGGAAATCAACTTACAATCACTGATTGTGTCAACTCTTGTTCAACCTTGAATGATTATCTTGTGAATTATATGTGAGTAATACAATACATCTTCAGGATTGCACAGAATGTGAATATCTGTATAGAAGTATATACACATGTAAACGAGCTGTTAGAATACTGGTGCTACAGATATATATAAATCCATGTTTGGCGAATGTTAGGCCTGTGTATATAAACTTCATAAAGCTCCCTGTGACAATGAATGAATGAAAGTCAGTGAACTTGTCCTGAAGTGGAAATGTTCAGTAGTTTGAACGCGTTAATGTATGACTCACATAAACAGAAGCAATGGGAGAATATCTACACTATTCACAAATACAAGAAAGATCGTATCGCTTGTACTGAGCACACTTGACACTATCCCTAAACTCACCGATTTCAAACTGTCCTTGTGTGAATTTCAAGTCATTATTGGTCGCCATTATCAGCATTTCATCTAGGTGAACGAGAAGAAGGGATTGTAGAACACTCTCAGGAGATGAGCACAAATACAAGTAATCGTCAGTGAACAAAGAGAATCCGTAGACAAAGAGAATCACTTTCATTCACTTACATTCCACCACCTTGGCCTTTCGGTATACACGACTATATTGTTGTACGGCTTCCGTCCAGTTGTCTGCAAATCGGGTGTAGTTCATATAGGGTGAAACAGGAGATTAGGGTTGATAACTTTGACAGCAACAATATACCAGTGAAACTGGTGAACGGGAATGCACAAGTCTGAAAGCAATTCTACTTTTGAATCATGAAAGCTTTACTAAGCAATGTATTATTCAGTCTGACTCACAGACCAGTAGCATTCACGACAGACCGCATTCAAATCAGCCTAACCAATGTCGGAGGCGAATTCGTGACCAGTATCAATTGTTAACCAGCCACGCCTGCAGGGTGTAAATCTGACAAACAAATTTCACTTGTATTGAAAAGAAACATCCAGTGCACAACTGTCTCCTCTCACTGCGCATATTAAAGCAAGGCACTGAAATACTGAATCTGTAAATTCCACCTCAAGTTCATCCGGATTGTAAAATAAATTGAGACACTTTACTAAAGCAGGGAATTTCATACAGCTGTGTTTTTGAGAACTGATGGAAGGTGCAATAAGTTGGAGTTGGTGACACGAAACTCCCTATTAACTGAAGCGAACACTCAACGGCGATACTGTTCGTGCAGTTGATGCAAGTCTCTAAGATAGTTGAGTGGGACACTAGGATGGAAGATGTCGTTGTCTACCTGTTGGAATGAGTCACGAAGAAGAATTTTATACAGGAGACACATTTCCGTCGTTCAATGCCTAGCTCATGCCTTCTTTACATGAAGATTTACTAATTCACAGAAACTCCGTCTGACTCACCTCTTAGTGTATATGTTTTCACATCGTGGATGGCGATAAACACTGAAATTAGAAGAAATGCATATGGTGAAGTGGTTTCACATGAAAAATCTTCATGGGCGTGACTCTTGAAACTGGGTGACACAAGTTTCATACGACAACCAGAGATATTGATGCTTATATATCTCAAATATTTACTAGTCACAGATTCCTGTTCTTGTATTACACGCAAACTCTGCGCCTACTCATCGCTCCAACTGTCTGAAGTAGCTCAAGAGTAGGTGAGACACATACGAGGCTGTTATCAGCACACCTGTATCAAGTGTGCAGAGATATGACGTATTCCTGTGACAAATATTCTCCGAAATCACATGAAACTTCCATGTTTCATGCAACAATCGTCTTTTCATCTTTTTCACCCTCATTCTATCTGATCAGAGTGCTTATAAAACGATATGTGTCAATGATTGAAATAGAGGGGAAACACCTGCGGAAACCTTCACAGAAAATCCACATGTATCTAGTATTCTCAATTCATTCGGGTATTTGAGTTCAGGGGGGTACAGCAAGCATTAATTGCATGCAGTGGAAGACTTGGAAATGAAACGAGACATTTTGTGTGTGTGTGTGTGTCACCTAACTGGAATAGCGTCATTACCGTTGAAGTAAATATACAAAATGACTTACATGAAATAAGCAGAACGACGCCTTTCAGTAGGATAATATCTTGCTTGACCATTTCTCTATTGCAGAGAAGCTATAAGATCATGGCTGTATTGTAGGCTATTTATACTCCAGCGTTGGGAAAACAACTGAGATTCACCTCGTGTGCACTTTCGTTTTCTACAATGCACTCATTGTTTTGTGTGAAACTCTCACACATGAAACAAGTATCTTCTAGTAGGTTAGCCGTTGTGAGTGCGTGTGCGATGGAATATCTGTGTTCATGGTTGGTGTACCCTATGGTTTATCACCACCACCCCTTAACACACTTCATCTCAAGTATCCTGCAAACGCCGTGTTATGTTGAGACAGTCACCAGTTTTGAGATTGTGTGATAGTTAGTTGCTGGCTTATCGTCTTTTCTCTTGCTGCGTTCTGTGCACTTTTCCCGTGAGAGATTTCAGAGCGTATTGCGTGTTAGAGAATTAGGTTATATTAAGGAGAGGACAATTACTTTCTCGAAGAATACTCTCATTTCTGTCTCATCACGCACACGGTGGTTTTGTGAAATTTGCAGCCCACATGAGAAGTGTGTGGTTTCATGGTTGAGAAATTTTTATTATTTAAACTGAAATTAATAATAGTGCAAAATTTATTTGAGATAAACTTTCGCACACGCACACATAAGAAGTTTTAAATTCTAATAATAATAAATAAATAAATAATTATAATATTGCAAAACATTAAGGTGAATGAATTCTGAAAATATTACTGCTCACCCTAACATGACCCACTTCCGAATATAATACAATGAGTTGTGAGATATCCCATGCAAAAGCACACAGAAAATCCCAGTATCATGAAGTGTGTGAATACACCATAACCGAGAGATTGTGCATAAGATTCTCTCCTGATTCGGAAGACTTATGAATACAATTATTATCATTATCGTTATTATTATTATTGTTAATAATTACAGCTAATGGTCTCAATTCATAAAAATAATTACTTTAATGTCAATGAAAATGATGATAATAGAAAGGATGTTGATAATGGTGGATTTATTGCAAAAGTAAAAGTAAAGTTACGCAAAAACTGAAGGACACAATCACACAGGACATTTTCACTACAACGGTCAGAGCAAAGCAGGAAACACTACGTGGCACCACTGAGGAATCATCCGTGGAAGATCATTGGAACTCTCTGAAGGTAATTTTCAACGAAACGTGTTCAACGGTTTTAGGAAGAAAGAAGAAACTAGACAAGGAATGGCTCTCAACGGACACTTGGAAGCTAATAGAGGAGAGGAGAATTGTGAAAGAGATAATGGTTCAATGCAAAGACGGACGAGAGAAGGAGACGCTGAGCTCAACTTACACAGCACTGGACAAAGAAGTAAAGGAGAGTGCCAGGAAGGACAAAAGACAATTCTACGACAACCTGGCTACTGAAGCTGAGAATGCAGCAGGCAAAAGGGACCTGAGGACACTATATCAGATAACCAAGTCTCTATCCGGGAAGAGATCAACACAAGTGAAACCTATAAAAGACAGCCAAGGGAACCCAATTACCAAAGAAGAAAGACAGATTAAACAATGGACGGACCACTTCAAAGGACTCTTGAACAGACCACCACCTGCAACCCGTCCAGAAATACCAACAACAGCACGTACACAACTGCAAGTTGACACCAATCCTCCAACGAAAACTGAAGTCATGAATGCAATCAAGCTTCTGAAAGCTGGAAAAGCAGCTGGACCAGATGGAATACCCCCGGAAGCACTGAAAGCGGACCTGGAGACGACAGCAGATATGCTGACTCCATTATTGCAAAAGATCTGGAAAGAGGGAAAGGTGCCTACTGACTGGAGGAAAGGTTACCTCGTGAAATTACCAAAAAAGGGCGACCTAGGACTCTGCAAGAACTGGCGAGGAATCGTGCTCCTGTCGACGCCAAGTAAAATCCTGAGTCGCATCATCCTGGAGAGAATAAAGGACGCACTGGATACAGAACTCCGACCAGAACAAGCTGGATTTAGGAAAGGCAAATCATGTTCTGACCAAATCGCAACTCTACGCATTATCATTGAACAAAGCATGGAATGGCAATCAAATCTCTACATCAACTTCATAGACTTTGAGAAGGCCTTCGACAGCGTTGACCGCGAAGTAATTTGGAAACTACTCGAGTACTACGGCGTACCCCAAATATTCATCAACCTTATTCAACAACTGTACGACAACGGCACATGCCAAGTGATCCACAACGGAAAACTCAGCGAGGCGTTTAAAGTAAACACAGGAGTCAGACAAGGGTGCTTATTATCACCAATGATATTCCTAATTGTGGTGGACTGGATTATGCGTCAGATAGTGGGAAACGAGAAGACAGGGATATCCTGAACCGACGTGAAGAACCTAGAAGACCTGGATTTCGCAGATCGAAGACTTACAAGCGAAAACCGACAAACTGGTGGAAGAAGCAGCAAAGACAGGACTGCAGGTGAACATAGACAAGACGGAGGTTATGAAAATAACCAACCAACAACAACAGCAGCAGCAACGTCCAGCGCCAATCACCATCAACGGGAAGGATTTGAAAGAGGTTACTTCTTTCACTTATCGAGGGGGCATTGTCTCAAACACAGGAGGAACGGACGAAGATGTCAAATCGAGAATTAGGAAGGCGAGAAACACATTCATCAACCTGAAACCAATCTGGAAATCTCCGTCACTCAGCATCAACAACAAAATACGGATTTTCAATACAAACGTCAAGTCAGTTTTGCTATACGGATCAGAAACTTGGCGGGTCACCAAGAATATTTTCAACAGGCTGCAGACCTTTATCAAAAACTGTCTTCGCTCGACACTACTGAATATCAGATGGCCGGAAAGAATCACCAACAAGAAACTATGGGAACAAACAAAACAGGAACCAATCGCCCAACAAATATGCAGGAGAAAGTGGAGATGGATTGGACATTCGCTGAGGAGGCCGTTGTTTGACATTGCGCGTCAGGCCCTCGAGTGGAACCCGAAAGGGAAGCGGCGAGTGGGACGTCCAAGGGTGACATGGAGGAGATCGTGTGATGAGGAACTGAAACAGTATGGATTAACATGGATGCAAGTGAAAAGTACAGCAGAAGACAGAAACAAGCGGAGACGTGCAGTTGAAGCCCTATGTTCCACTAGGAACCCAAGGGAACAATAATAATAATAATATTGCAAAAGTGGTTTTGATAGTGCAGAATCCTCAGCGAGGAATCTCTGAGGCTTGACAACGTGTCCATGTGTGACACTAGTCAGGTGTTTATTTGAGGCAACGCACAAGGTAGCTGTTCTGCCTTCTGACCTTATGTGAAGAGGGTTCATAATGTTTCAGTTTCCAGAGTCATCTAATCCTCACCACGCTAACTGGTGAAGGCTTCCATGTGTATCTAAATATTTTCTCACCATCACACTATCTCTTCGTCTCATCAGCGTCTTGGTCACAAAGTTCATCTCTCCTCCCACTGACAATATTTCCTACCCAGTTCATTTGCTTCCCATAATATCTCCAACGGAATCTCACTAGATAATTTTCTCTTCTGGTGTCTCGAGACCGCACTAACAACTGGTGGGAAATATCTCAAAACCAAATGAGGGTGATTGTCACTTTTCCTAAAATACCTCCATGTTCTAGGATCACGCGTTTGTCAATGTACATGAAACCGTCATATTCAAACCGATATTTTGACTGGAGATTGGCCAGTGAGGCAGTCAGTGATTACGACTGAACCAATGTGGAATTTTGTCGTTTCATGAGGTCTTCATGTGATCTACATTTATTGGGAGGTTAGGTGATTTTAAATATTTTATTACGAGATTGAGATTTTCTTAGAAATTTGATGTATTTAAGCTTTACATTTCGAACAATCGGCATACGCATTCACTTGTGAAGTCAATTTATATGGAATATAAAGTCTAATCAAAGTACATAGTGTGAAGGAAACAATTTCAGAATGATACGAACAAGTACCACCACATTTGTTTATCTGGTCATATAAGGATTACCAAGGTGGGTTAACAGTATTATCAAATGTTTAACTATGTGCGAATCTCCTATTCGGCCACCTCTGTCTATACCTAAAGATATAATTGATATGAACCAAAAGACTGATGTTAGAAGAGCGTTTAAGGTTATTTCTAGAAACCGTCAGGTGTGCTTATTTAAATGCAATGGGGCATTAGCCACTGTAAACATAGGGCTGACTCCTGTGTGTACGAATTTTCGCGTCCTCCCAACAAGAAGTGTTGTTATCGCCACTTAATCATTGTTTCACTGAATATCTTCACAGAGAATACTGTTATCAGGCTCAGATAAATGTTCTCTGCTTTTCCCAATTAATGGTGATGTTACATTCTCACCAAGCATCGGTTTTCTGCATTGCTCGGTAGGTATATTATGCATGAACCTGACCGACATTTGTCGTCAGAAGGTGTGAAAACATGCAAAGGTCATGTCCATCCAACGACACTGCTCACATTTATTAAAAAATAAATGAATAAACACTGACAGAATTGAATCTGTATCATCCTGACCACTCGGGAATTATTTGCTCACAATTGGTTTTCTCGTCGATCTAGAGTAGGCGAGCGATGTGGTCATTTCAGGTGAAAATGAAGACAATATGCAAAATCATAAGCACAAACTGAGCAAGACACTGAGTATCTTTGATGCCATATCCACTCTTGTCAAATGTGAAATAATGCCTCTGGAATGATTTGGTCAGGATTTCAGCGAATCCATACCGTCTCTGAGCACACCTCATATCAATTATTCCTACGTCTCTGTTTTTAAGATTATGACTTCTTCGTCTTTAATTCGTCTCTGTCAAATAGTTTATTGAATGTATTTATAAAGACGTATATCGCTGGATAACTATTATTGTTGTTAGGCTACTATCATCATTATGACTGCTAAACTATGATGTAATAATTTTCGCAGTGCAATAGGAAACTTCACTCATCCATGTGATGAATAAATATTCAGAGCGATGTGTTTCTCGCCCCATTGTCATCCAATGACAGTCTATCACTTCCAG